AGGTGTATCAAGGTCTTCTCTATGTGTGCTATAAAAATCAGAACCATCCAAGGTCAGGAAGTCTGTGAAAAACCAGGTTTTTTGGAGACATGTGCAACAAAAAAAATTTTTTTTTTAACATAAAGTTATATTATGATATGGTATACCTATACTTACGTATAAGCGGAAAAGAAAATTTTTCTACAAGTTTTTTTTATTTTGCATTTTTCTCGAAACTAGTTTTTGGGTATCAAAAACCAGTTTTCCCCCTTTTTCTCCGCCATTTCAAGTCCGATCGGGCTGAAAATTTTTTTAGTGAGACTTCAAGTGATTTGGGTTGGCAATTTTTGTTTTTTTGGATACCTTCTACCAATCAAGTTTGGCAGGCTACGCAAGATTTTCACGATCCAAAAAACCTAGAGATTTTGCGAAGTGTTCAGTATTTTGGTTCTCCAACCTGAAGTATTTGGAATTTTTGAAAAAAAAAACGGCCACCCCGATTGGGTCCATCTACCTACAGTAAAAATTTCAGCTCAAACGGATCAAATTTGTGGATTTGCGGGGGGAAAACTTTTTGCAAGCTTTTGACCTTGGGGTCTCTGGAAGTCCATGAAGATGACGTCTGGCAAATTTGTGTCTATGACAACTTTTGCTCTACTACTCGAGGTCTATCTACCCTGAAAGTTTCAGGAGTTTTCGTTCGGCCGTTTCTTAGAAACGCCGGAAAGGGGGGGGGGGGTCCCCTTAAGAGCTTTTTCCAGTTTTTCACTTAGACCTACCCCTAAAAGCCACATAAATAATTGACTAGACTAAGTTTTCCATAAGTATGCTGACTGGTTCTGCCGACATCTGGCCAGTCAGTTAGAACAGTTTAGATTTTAAAATGTTCCCTTTTCGTTGTCTCCATACTTGAACGAGTTGTTTTTGCCGGAAGGAACCAGTTGGAACCTGTCTTACTTGCTGCTGTTTTGATACAATCCGGTTTTTATAAATCTGTCGTAGAGAGAGGAACCGTCTTTCAACTTTTATATCATCGCAAGAGGGGTACTAGCACACTAAGATAAAATGTGTCGCATTTTTCGAACGTAGTTCGAATCCATTTTTCGACATGTGGATGTTTTTTCTGAAAAATTAAAAATGACTATTTTTTTAATTTAATTTGAATTAGTAAAATTTATTGTTGAAGTTCAAGACCGTGAGATCTTAAGACTTCGCCGTCTCAAGACCACTTGATCTCAATCAGACCGCTTCGAGGCAGTCCATTCTCGACTGATAAATGGTCAAAAAAATAATCCAAAAAAAAGATATACGAAAATGCATAAGTGAAGTACGTCTAATCGGTTTAGCTATATATAGCTGTATGTGCCAAACAAAACGGTGAATGAATGATAAGCATATACAACGGGAGACATCTAGAATACGACACATTCGCGTAGTGTAGTTTGCGACACATTTTATTTTAGTGTGTGAAAATATTAGTCGGCAGAATCATAAATAATACTTGCACAAAACTTTTGAACTAACAGTCTTTCAGAGTCTAATAGCACTGCCTCGACACCTTTCAAAAAAAACATTTTCAGTCCAGTATTAGTTGTCGAACACGGTTCTTTCTCATCTGGAGAGCGGCAAAGTACGGTCCAGTGTCAGTTCCGGCTGAAAACTAGTCGATATACTCTGTAACAATTTAACTGCACTCTCTTATATCAGATAAAAATGCAACAAACTTTATTGGCAGTAACCTTCCTAATACACGCATACTGTTGTTCGTAGGTAATCATCGTGTGACGCGCTGGGCGGTCGGGGCCACTGCTGGAACACTTCTTGTGGGCAGTTCGAATGGAACAGCTGGAAATTCTAGCAGTCTTCTAAATGGACCCGGTGTTGTCGCATTTGATGCAGCCCACAATATGTACGTGTGTGACAGACTCGAGTCACAAATAATGTGGACAACGCAAATGCATTTTCACTATTCAAGGGATGGATGCCTCGCAATATTCCTATAAACTTACGAAAACAATCACCGCATTCAAAAATTCAATCTCATTAGCTGTTAACATGGATATGTGTGATTTTAGCTGTATCGCTTGTTTATCTTTATCATTTTCACTTCAAGAGTCTATTTTGGTTTTTGACTAACGCGTGCCTGCATCGTTTTCGTTACTAATTTCTAAGGAAAAGAAGTGTCTCCTTGTCTAATAAAGCATCAAAGATGAACCCCTTATGAGAGTGATTCACGCTCGATCCTTGTAGACGGGCAAAAGTTAACAAGTACACTATTTAGACTCCCGTGTCGAAGACGCGTGTAATATCAGATCTGTATTTTCAACTAATATATTTTCGTTTCCTTAATCTATTTAGAGCACCAGAATTACTAGTGACAGCAAGGATATTTGAGGGCGGGCGAGGCTGAGTTCATAATAGAAAGATTCAAAGCATCACACCACGTGTTTCGACTATTGCTTAGATAGTCATCATCAGGTAAGTTCCGAATCGCACTATATTTTTTTTGGTAGTGAATCCTAAGGTCAGGATGAGCTCTGTTTGTCTCTCATTTATATATTGATTCTGAAAGTTTCGAATGAAGATGATGTGTAAGCGGTAATGTTTTTAATATGCGGCATCTGATTATAAATCAAGTTTATATCAATGTATCCTGTTAGGCAATTGGTGTAGCGTATTAAACATTAGTTTGATTATGTGCTCAGTTACTGTTATGTTGGTTTGCTCTATAGGAAAATACGAGATTCAGAGATTTAGTTATTAAGACATTTTCTAGCCGTTTGCAATTTACTGGATTTTAATCACCTGTCAGACATGTACGATAGAATTTATTTGCTCGTATATATCGAATTATATATTGTGTTAGGTGTTATTTGACAAGGATAGTAAAAGAAAATAAGATGATGTTTTTAAATCGTACGAAGTTGAGAAAGTTCATATATAGATAAAGGTCTATATTTATTAAATGAAACGGGTCAACCATACGTTATATGACAAGTGCGATGAGAAGAGACATCTAGTTTTCGTTTAATTGCTGAACTAAAAATACCTCATGTTCCCACTGATCCAGCTGAATAAGTTCTTCATTATTTTTCTCTCGTTGTTCTTCTTTTTTGCAATTTTCGAACGGCATCAATTTGATTTATTTGTTTAATTTCGTCTTGTATTAATGCTGATTGTTCGAGAATAGCAAATCCTCCTAATGTATTCAGTTGTTCTTGATGTCATAGATCATTTGGATCCATTTTTTCAAAATCATAAGCTTCCATTTGTATGCTGTTAAATTCTTCATCTATTGTTTCTCCAAATGGAGGGTGCAGGTGAGTATAGCTATCACATTACCAGGTAATTCGATGTTGCTGAATAAATCTTATCAAGTGGCACAAGTATCAGTATAAGAGATCCAAATCAACTAATTTGAATCAATGCGTAATGCTTCTGGAAATTGTCAAGGTACTCAATGACCTTTTGATGTTTTAAGCTTTTATCAAGCGAGGTTTGTTTGGTTAGATAGAGCATGGAAAAATAAGTGTCCTGTCTCTGTTAAGGTTTTGGATTGGATGAATTTTTTAAGGAAATAGTGGGACTTTTGTGTTTTGTTTTTTTAACGAAGTTGCTAGGAAGAACACGTTTAATCAAAAAACTTTTGGTCTATAGATTGAGGTGTGTTTTTTATCGTCCCTGTGACCTATTGGTTCGATGTGGATGATGATCAAAAATGGTGTTTTTCGCATGCGACTTGACACATGATCATGGTTGTGGCTATAGTTTGTTTGTTTGTCTATGTTGAATTAATAGTGGAATTGTCGTGTATTTATTCGATTTGCATGTAATTTTTGTTCAAGTGAAGTTTCTCTGGAACAGATGTGTAATCGTTGAAAGTTGTTGTTAAATTTTAGTAAGTAACGGTTGAGTGAAAGCGCTGACTAAAACACCAATAGACCTGAGGAAGTTGGTTGATATTGGATGCTATTGCTGTTTACAGTTGAGATTACACTAGAAGAATCGATGTTGTGGGCGTGGGTGTGGATGCATGGGAACGGAAAGAAGACCGCACCCACACCGACACCCATACCCACACCCACCCACACCCACACTCACACCCACACCCACACCCACACCACCCCACCCACCCACACTCCACCCACGCCCACGCCCACACCCACACCCACACCTTGTTCTTCAATTCTATTAAGTTCTTGTTCAAGATCTCAATTTTAAACAAGCTTACTTGACAAAAAAAAAAATCTTTCTATGTGAGTCTTCTCTGAGCTCATATCTACATCTACACTCTATACTCGGGTGTGGGTGTGGAGTGTAGGTGTGAGGAAATAGATAAAGAGACCCACACCAACACCCACAGCCACACCCTCGATTCAATTAATAATGATTTAAATTTATAACAATAATCATATTTATCTTCACATATGCTTTGTTTTCTATATAAATAATATTTTTGTCATAGATAATTATAATAATAAGGTTGACAATCATTGTCGAAGAAGATGTATCTAGTATAGAATAGAAGAAATATTTAAAAATGCATGAAATAGAAAATAGAACTTTCAATCAATCATTCATTTAAATTTTTCTTCTTATTTTTGATGGATAATAATTTATTTATAAATATTATTGTGTATTTTCTAGGATGATCTACCTAATTTGAAGTGTTTTTCTTTAACAGCATCTCCTTGTTTATCTGATATATATGATAATAGAATTTTACCTCTTTTTTTGTCGTATGTTAAATCTTGAAGAATTAACTTTGTCTGTTACTGTTGCAAATCCAACTACATTTATTGATGGTACTTGTCTTTATAATGAAAATCTTATTTATATACCCATGATTTAATAAATTTAACTTTTCTATTTGTACTAATACTTCAATTTACCATTTAATTCATTGTTTATCTAAAGATGATATTCAACGAACTTTTACTAACATTATATTTCAACAAGTAGAATGTTTTGTGAATTACTCATATTGTAATGCTACATGTCGTGTCTTCTCATTACTATTTATGTTTAATGATCTTGATTATTTGGAAGTGCAAGATGAAATTCCATTTGAATATGAATTTTTTATTCCAATTGCTTGGTCTTTTCCTTTACTTAAATACTTATCGATTTTGAATCTTTCATCACAATCATCAATATCAAAGAAATTCGACTGTAATGATAATCAGTTATATTCAATTGTTAAATATCCTTATCTTATTTCACTTAATCTTTATTCTGCTCATAATGATTATGTTGAACAATTTCTCAATGATAGAAAAACATATTTATCTCATCTAGATAAATAAACAATTGTTTATGATCAATTACAATTTGTGACAGAAAACTTTACAAGAGACACAACATGATTCAATTCAATAGAATTATTCCATTATAAAAAATGTCAGATTTTCTCATATTTTTCATCTTCATTTAAAAAGAAATTTGAAAATTTTGTGTTGTAAAAGAAAAGTATAGATTATTTTTATATTTATATTTGAGAAAGAATGCATCGTTTTCTGATGGAAGTTTAAGATTAGAGTTTCTTTGTTGAGTTTACTGAACTGATCGATGGAATGATTACAAAAAAAAACAAACTAATTAATATTTCTACCATATACATACTTACGAGGGAAGGTTCCCAAGTGATTCACTGCTTTTGACTCCATATTTTGCCCATAAGTAGGGGTCTTATAGACTAGAGAAACCCTAAGAAGATATGGGCTCATATTGCGATTTGGTTGACATATTCAAGTTTTCCCCAAAATTTCCTGTGGGACCTTGATTTTCCAGCAAAATCGTATTTTCGAATTTTAAGCTGAAACTGTGCCCAGATAAAACCCTCAATTAGACTAGTTTGTAAAAAAAAATTCAGCACTTTTGGACCACATAGTATTACTGATATATGAATTTTCCAAAATACAGGCGCTCTTCGATTGATATTGTATAAAACATGAAGACTTTTGAAAAATTCATATATCAGTAATACTATGTCCAAAAATACTGAATTTTTTTTACAAGCTAGTCTAATTGAGGGTTTTATCTGGGCAAAGTTTCAGCTCAAAATTCGAAAATACGATTTTGCTGGAAAATCAAGGTCCCACAGGAAATTTTGGGTAAAACTTGAATATGTCAGCCAAATCGCAATATGAGCCCATATCTTCTTAGGATTTCTCTAGTCTACAAGAC